ACCCTGTGATTCTGTGTCAGAGCTCAGAGGCAGCAGAGGGCTGTGTGACGGTGAAGTACAGCCTGGCAGGTCATCCCTCTGAGAACCAGCTGCACTTCAGTCTCAGCCCTGCAGAGGACACTGGGTAAAACAGTTTAACACAAACGGCACACTTCTGTTTTGAAATGCGAGTGTTGAATTTAAAACAATATTTTCAGAAACATAACTCTACTTACCTCTGCTTACTAGAAAACAGTTAATAATACACAGCCCTAATGGTGTTTGTCTAGTTTTAAACATGTTTCACTTTTTCTAATCTTATTTTTACTTTGGATTAGGGGTATCATAATATCTAATAGTATATGATTACTGATCACAAACATTTAGACATGACAGAGGAATCTCAGTCCGCAGTTTCTGGGAAATCAAGGAGCCATTTTTTGACCTCAAGTGAAAAAACTACTGTGCAACAATCTGCCATTTTGACTGTAAAATACACGTCAAGCAAACAGCTTGACCCACACAGGTACCTCTCCAACAGCAACTAATTTGTGCCCTCAGTGCCTCTTTTTGTAAAGCGTGACAGTCATAGTGTTTGCTTAGAGAAGAAAACATAGTCTGTCTGACCTTTAGAGGCAAATCTGTCAGAAGCAAAAAGGAATCTATGCAAGATGCTGTTTCGACTCCTTTAGCCTGATAACTGGGGTTAAGTAGACGCAGCACATCTGTGTGGACTATTGGTCACCATCCTCTGTCAATGTGAGTGATATAAACAGAAAATATAGCACAAAGGTAAGTGGTAACTTTATTCCATAATAGATCTTGAAAATATAGCCACTGGCAATACTGCTTCATTATCTTTTAAAAGCATTTTTGGACTTAAATAGCAAAATAACACCTACATTTTACAGTAAGTTCAACACACTTATCTATGTTTATCAGATTCTCTTTAAAAATCTTAAAATTTCTTTTTGCTTTCTTAACATTGTCTCCATGAAGCCCAGTGACACAAATCAATAGATCAAACTACAGTCATGTCTTTAAGACATCAAGACCTCGGTGAACTCTAATTTCCTGCTTCTAAATTCAGACTAAACTGATGTTATGAGATAGCCTTTATTTGTCAGTTGCAGGTCTTTAACCCACAACCAAGATGACAGACCTTGCTAACCGTACATACAATACAAACATCACATTGGGGAGACAGGTCAGGCCAGGTAGCGAGGAAAAAAACATTGAAATGTGCAACACAAAAGGATAATACAGGAATGCACAGATATCAACACACCATAACACAATAAACACAGACAAGCAACATGGGAAAGTGTTCCAGTGTGTACATCTGATCTGGG